AAAAATAATAATAAAAGATATACTAATATTCTTGTTTCGAAGTACCTTTAAACTTCAAAAACTAAAACACATGCTATTAACATTAAAAACAAAACACTTTGAAATCTACCAGTAATCTGAGATGCATTCTTGGAATCGATTCTTAACTGGCATTACGAATCATTTTTATAGTTTGATATGATCTTAAATATCTGAAAACGGATAATTTGCTGTCGTAAACGAGATCATGTAAAATATTTGTCAATAATAATAAAATACAGTAATATAGTCTCATAAATTTTTACTGGTTTTCAAATTAATTGAAAACGATAATCTCTATACGGAAAATTATTCCTGTGAAAGTTAAGCATAAAACTGCAGCTAGCTGTATCTCGCAATTCTTGTTACCTCATCAGCGTTAAACTCTATCAGGAACAGCAAGAAGTTTTTTCAGTGTCAAGTGGGAGTTGCTCTAGGACTTCAATAGTTTATTGGTGCATCAATTTAAATAAATTCTGGTTCATCTTTAGAGCATCATTATCCTGGTCAAATACCGTGAAAATAAAATATCAGTAAATTTAAGATTCAGTGTACTATGAAAATTCACCATTATAGAAATAAAACCACACACCTTTTTACCGATTACTTATAAACAAGCACTGAAAATACCGGTAGCTTAAGACTGCCGATTTCTCCCGTATTTTTCAGAGAAACTCCCCCCTTCCCTGTGAAAACCTACAGAAATGTTCCTCAGGTAACGTTGATCCCGTAGGACCCAACTGACCTCTAAGGAACTTCTACTTCTTGAAAGGGAATTCTGTTTTCTTCAGCCATTCTTAAATTTCCCCCTCACAAAATATTCCCAAGCTCCTTCCATTCGAAATAAGGTTACATGCACCCAGATTGGGAGTCGAAAATGCCACCCTCCCCCTTTCAATGTCCCCGGATTGATTGTTCAGGCGAAACTACGGTCAGCGAGTCAGGGTCGAGGCTGTCTCTTAAACCACCCGATAGTCTCCTTGCCTTGACCTTGAATACAATGGCCCAAACCCCTAGAAGCACCTTTCTCACCCACCTCTGCGGAAACGTAGCATATTATTCACTCCGATTACGTATTCTCACGGTGGACACAACCCTGCACCTACATTTCCTCTTCTTTGCTCTGCATTAGGTTCTTGAACGCCTTGTAATAAAAGAGTGCCCTCCTGTTTCCTGTACTTACGTCACTTTCTTTTGGCTAAAACTCTTCAAAATTTTAACGTCCTCTTTGTACATTTCTGTTGAAGCATGAGGTACTTTCAGAAAGTGAATGCGGTGGTCAGCGCCTTTAAAGGATTCTGAAACAAAGGAAAGCTTCGACAAAAGTGGGTTATAGGGGATACCAAAAATAGAAATATTATACAACACGAAAACAGATGCTGCTCTTCCGTACTGGTTTTGCACGGTTCACTACTACGCGAATGGCTGAAAAACTCTCAGAATTGCGGAATAAGTGGAAGCTCATAATTCAAATACAATAAATTTCATGATAACGCGAGGGTAAAGTGAGATCGTTTAAATGCGACGTTTTGGGACCAGCATTTGGTTTTAAAAATCTTCCGGTACAGCTCGTCAACCAGCCGCTTTCGAAGAGTCAGTGTTGGCCAGTAGAAAAAACTGCACAATAAGCTAGGTAAACCTAATTTCATTCAGATCAGATAATGTCATTGAATTCAAAAGAAACTTGGTTTACAACAATTTGCAATTCATTTTTAGATTTTGATAAACTAGAGCGTTTTTACCTATCTATGTATGAATTATCATTAAAAAAAAGCATGTACACAACATTCTTATAGTGCTAGAAATAAATTCTTTTTTTCCCCCTCACGAGCTTAACTTTTAAAATATGCATATAAATATTAAACATGGAATTTTACTTCAATATTTATATAACGAATATATCATTACGAAATTACCATGTGCTTAAATAATACTTTAATAACGAATTGCATTCGTGTTTCATTAAATATATAAAATATATCCATTAAGCATTATTTAAGAGAAAGAATGACAGTGCTAAAGTGAAATATGCATTTTCCAGCCGAAGACTTGCGGACAAATTAATTCACGCCAGAGCTGCTGATACAAACCAAAATCACTTCATAGGTATTAAAATGTATCATAATTTAAAATATCATACCAGTTTGTTAGAATATTTACCTTCCTAATTACTACATACTAAAGCTGTAACGAAAAAAAGATACGAAAATTTTTGGGAAGCAGCATTATGGGCCCCTGTGCAAAGCAGTGCTCTGAAGCCCCTAATAAGACAACCAACTCGCAGAAATGAAATGTTGAGGAATTAGCATGGGCCAGCGGGCAAGGGCCCAGCGTTAAGTTGCTCTGAGTAAAGTAAAAAAAATATGTAATGTATACATAAATCCATTTGAAATAAAGTAAAATACAGTAGTAATTTTCCGTGGAGAGAAATTGGATTGTCTTACAACTGCTGTCACAAGCAGCTTTTAGCATTTTGAAACAAAAGAGTTTCAAAGATGTTTATTTCTTACCTTCTTGTAAGTAATTTCATCATTTATTACGTATTCATGTTTATTAATACGTACTGATGAATTTTCAGAAAAATCACATGAATCACAATAAAATAATTCGATTCTAAAAGTTTTAAAAGGGTGTGAAAATAAATGATAACAAAAGAAAATCAACTAAATATGAAACTCTATAAAATATACACTCTCCCTTTTTTCACTAAAGATAAATTTGCTTTTCTAAAAAAAAAAAAAAAAAAAAAAAAAAAAAAAAAAAAAAAAAAAAAAAATCCATTCTATTTTTTCAAAATATACCATTTTACCAAATTTGTCAGCCACATAGAATAAACTTCAAATTTACAGATTGCCTAAAGTTTAACATAACGGCTACTTTTTATCAGATGAAAGCGGAAGTTTCAAGAGGCATAAATTTTAAGAGAAAAGAATTTTGTGGAAGGGTGCAGCATAAAAGATCTCGAAACTTAAAAAATAAACAAGCTTGAAAATTAGATATAGAAATCAAGTTCTTCCGCTCGATTTTTTTATTAAAAAGAATTACTGGTTGATAGCGTATAAACATAGTTGCTTATGTATTTTTGTAATCCTTGGTAATAATTGGTTAATTTTTATGACAACATACGAGAGTGCTACTATAATCTCTGGCAAAAGCAATGAATTGTAATAATTGTTTTATTACTGTAAACATTCTTGGCAATTGAGCGCATGCAAAAATCAGCAAAATGCAAAACACATAAAAATGTCAACAATGTATTCCTGAAATGGAATGAATTCGTTGCATGTGTTTATTTGCTGGGACGTATCTTCCAAAATTAAAGTGGAATTTTTCTACTCCATTAGTATCAGAGATTTACCATACGATAATAAGAAATAAAATAGCATGCAAACTTTTATTATCAGCAATGAAACTTTGGATGGGTCTGATACAGAACCAACCGAAATCAGATAACAGTGTGTCGCAACGCTCTGATACTGCTACTCATATAAGAACGAAATTCTCTTCCCAGAAGTCCTTGGAAAACTGAACTTGACCGCTTTCACTAACGTATTTGGCCACTGGCCACAAAACAAACATAAAATCCGAAATGAATTTTTTCCCCCTTCTATGGCCAGAAATGACAATTAGATGTTTCTAGGTGGTTTGGCTGGTATATCCCATTACACCATCCCAGCCGCAACGCATGACTGCAATCATACCAACGTCATCATTATTTCTCTTTCAGTTAAATCTAATGAAAACAAACTGCGTAATTGGAAAGATTTCAAGAAGGAGGAATTCTTCCTTCTGAATGTCAATTTAATTATTAAAAAAATAGTCATAAGCGTTTGGATAAAATATTTTTCCCTTTAAGGCTGGGACCATCTGATCATTTAGCGCAATTTACAATAAATATTTATCGTAAATTTTTATGCTCATTTTGCAAACAGCTGAACACTTTCCCTCATTAAACCGAGAAATATGGTATTTAAAATTACTTCAAGCTCATTATTTAAATTTAAATTTTGAAAATAATTTAAATTCTTCTAGAGCGAATTCGTTATTTCCTGAGAGTGATTCGGAACGAATTATGAATTCGAAGATCCTCAGAGCGAATGATAAAAAATGGTAAGTTAAATAATAACAGTAACAGAACATAGCGCCGTCCGAGAAAAGAATTTTACTGAAAAATGATGCAAATAAGATAGAGGAGCACAATCGCAAGAACACATTTTAAATCTAGGTGTTGGAAGGAAAAAATATATAATAATTGGTATATTATTCTTAATCATAACTGCTTAGCAATCATATCTCAGAATGAACTGATAAACCTAAGCTATATATCATGAACATGACAAATGTTGAAAATTCCGCACAAAATTTTATGTACCCTGAAATCTTGCTAATATTAAATAGTAAGATAATTGTGAGTGCCCAATACTGTTGACAACATATAAATTTGTTATAAAATCGCCAACGTAGAAACCAACAAATGTATGATTACATGCAAAGAAAAATGCGAGAATGAAAACAATTATTAATGATCAAAATTTATAATTTAAAAGATCAGAACTTTTCCAAATCATGCATGCTTATCTAAAGGAGGTACTTAATAGAACATGTAATTCAATTTCGAAATCGGACAAGTGCTTCTTCGAAATTACTTCCAGGAAGAACGAGCAAAACATTTCAGTTAAAACTAGCATATTAAAAAGACCTTGAGGAAAAGCAAGTCAAACACTATTCGTTAGGTCATTTTGCAACATAACTACATTAATTCGAAATAAAATTTACGAAAAAGCGCTAAAATAAATAAAACTTTAAACCAATACAATATGAAAATATATTTTTAAAAAATTAACTTGCGACGAAATTTCAAACTAAAAGTGTACGGAAATACGGCAACTGTTCACTCCGTTACTAATTGAAAAGATCCAGTTGTCACCAAAACGAGGCAAAAGAAGTCACAGTAAATCTAAATCAATAGAGAAAAGTCTTACCAGAAATTGAAGAAATATGTGGTTCTTCAGGCTTTGAGGCCGGCGGTGTATTTGTGGACTGTTCTGGACTTGGAGGTGGTGTGACAATTCCAGATGCTGCAGTCTTCCAATGTTGACGAAGTTTGCGCACTAAGAACACTTTCGGCATCGTTGATGCCAAAGAGTAAGTTCGAGAGAAAGAAATATAACAACGTAGCACCAAGCTCTCTTCCTTCCAAACGCTTGAGAGAAGTAAACAAATGAAGAGTAAAATTAATATAGGCCCACTTGGGGTCTCAACTGGATAGGATTTCCCTTAACGTCCAGCTCTGATTGCTACCTGTAGTAGTTATGGATGAACCTAGAGTAAGATGGGAGACGTTTGCAAAATACTCCCGGTACCTGTAGAAGGTTGGACATAAATGTGGGCTAGTAAACCACTGAGAAGTCAGGCGGTCCCGCGCTCAGCGATGAAACGAAAGTGAGTGGACGAGAAGGGCATGTGACGTCACATATAGGTGGCCGGACCTTCTATTACAGGAGGGGAAAGTAAGGGAACTTTCAGGTGGCCGTGAAAAACTGACGGTACGGGTTACCAGGTTGAAGGGCGCGAGTGCTCGCCAAACGACAGTCTTGTTTACGCCAATTCTGTCCGCTTTCAACCGGGCGAGTTTCGATTTCGATTTTTTCAAAGTTAACAGTTACAAAATACGTTCTCGTTATTTTTGATTGTTCAGTTTTGCCTTATTTTAAAATACATGTTTACTCAATCTTCAAATTTACTTGAGCTAATTAGACTTTTGTTTTGTTTTAGATTATTCACTAAATTAGAAATCTCTGTTCTTTTTTGAAACAAAGTTTCTCATTTTTCCTGCAAAATTTTGGTTTGCTTTTTTTTTAAATGTAGAATTTAAGCAGTTTTGTTTCATGTGCTATGTACTTAAGTTTTTATGATTGCTCCTTAGAAAGTTATTTCTGAAGCACTTTTCCGCTTCCTGTAAGACTGAAAAAAAGCTTAAGATTTATTGCGCATAAATACAGGTCCCGTAATTTATAATCAAAATATTTGATAAATAACGTTACTCACTATCACAGATTTCATCACTCACTATCGTAAATATTTGATAAATATGTTACTCACTATCATAGATTTTTATTCATGGAAAAAAAAAAAATAGGTCCATATTTATTTTCTCTAGATGACGGAATGTTTCTTAGTTGAATAATTTTAAAATTTTAAAGGTAGTACACCTTTCGTTTTGGATTAATATCATAAAATCATTGGGAAAATGCTTTTGTGACTGTTTCTCAAATTATAAGTAAATAAATCTCTTGCTGTATCAAATTGCTAATATTTCATTCATACAATTTTCAGTCTATTAAGACAAGGCAATAGTATAATTATATACTGTATTAAAAATCAAATCATTCTTTAAAAGGCCAACTTTTTGGGGACCAACCGAATGAGGTGGTTTGTGCAAAGAATAAAGTATTCAATGTTGAAAACAATACTAATGATCGGCATTTTGCAAAAAGAAATCTTTTTTTTCTGCATGCTTATAAACATAAAGCACTTAAATCTTCTTCCCAAAACAATTTCTTGAATAGTAAACAAATGTACTTACAGGAAAAAAATAGCGGCAAAACATTTCAGTCTCAACGGATCATAAAATCTACCTTGCGGAGTCGTGAAAGCTAGTCTGTACACTATACGTTGGTGATTTCGAATAAGATGGGACGAGAACTTCACTCCCGGTTTTCGTAAAGGCTTAATCAATAAAACAACTTAAACCAAAAGAAATATGCGGTGAAATATTTTTTAAAAAATGATGCGACGAAAAAAGCAAACTAAAAGTGTAGTGAAATATGATGAGGTGGCGTTCGACTTTATTAAGTAAACTTTCAGGGTGGTCTGCCGTGAAAACAAAAGAAGTCACAGTGAAGGCTTTGCGCTCGTGCTGAGGACAAAGCCCAGAAATTCCGCCTTTATGTGTTCTTCGGCTTTGAGGCCGGCGGTGTAGTTGTACAGTTTTGGACTTGGAGGTGGTTTTGAATTTCAGTTTTGATTTATTTTAAAATGACGTTACTTTCGCATTTACTTTCTAATTCGTTTTTGTTTTGTTGTTAAGAAATTCCATTAGAACACCTCTCTTCCTTTCTTTGAAACAAAAATTTTATTAAGAGTAAAATTAATGATTTTGGTCACTTTTTTTTTAAATGTAGGGAATTATTAATATTTATTTTTTTCTACCTGATCCTTTGGAAGCGACTAGATTAAAGAGACGTTTTTTGACAAATTAAGACTGACAAAAACAGCTTAAGTAGTAACCATAGAAGTTCACAAGGTCCCCAATCATAATTTTGAAACGCGAAAGTGAGTGGACTCATATCCGTCACACTCAGGCCGGACTATTTCTATTTGATTAAATAAGTAGACTGGGAGTTTTCATGAAAAAAAACATTCATAAGGGTTTTGCTCGAAAAACGACAGTTGTTTAATTTCTGATTTTAACTACAGTTCCATTTCGTTTTATTCGTTTCTGGCAAGCCACAAATACGCCCTTTGATTTTTGATTGTTCAGTATTTGCCTTGTAAGAAAATACGTTCACAATGATACCAAATTTCATTCATACTAATTTTCAGTGGCTATTAACTTAAACAAGGGACAATCGTATAATTCAGGCCCCCGTTATAGATTACCATATTGGAAAAATCAATCATGACGGACTGAATAACATAGCGTTTTAACCAAATAAGTGAGAAAAGGATTGAAACGTTGGGGACATACGCTATCACTCTCTGTGTTTACAAACGTGTTTAACTATTAGTATTATTTTCATTATTCTTCTATATGATACTCAAGGATCGTTTTTCTAGAAGTAAAATTTTCATTCAATAATTTATTTCCTCTGTTGCTTACATCAAGCATAATTTTCACATTTTAAATGTAGTTGATTAGAAGTGTGATATTTTTAAAGATTTTAAAATTATTTCTTTGATACTATATAAATCTTTTCTTGACTGTAGCTTAAGCTTTTACAGATTTTTTTTTTTTTTTTTTTTTTTATATATAGTAGCGTTGCAACGAAGGTTGACATCTTTAATTGGAAGCCAAGATCGAGTAGTGGGAAACATATTATATATATATATATATATATATATATATATATAATTATAAAAAAAAATTGCTTAGAAAATCTAGTGAGTTTCGCAGTATGCTTATTAATTGACTATTAATCAACAGCCTGCTGCATCCACTTTATTTCTTTCTGGATACGCTAAAGTAATCAAAGTCGGTTTTATTTCTAGGCTTGGCTAACTGCTTTCTTTCAGAAAACATAAAAGGGAAAAATAACCAAGCGACTAACCAGATTTTTCATTAAAAATAATACTTTTATTGCTGTTTTCAAGTATGAATTCCGTATTGCTGTTTTCAAGAGAATTTAATATTCTTATCCGGTGACTGTTTTTCGGATGGTAAGACTTAAAAATTTTGCTTGAATTAATTACTTTCGCAAAACTTCAAGTGAATATGAAATAATGGTATGTCTCACTTCTTTCGAATATTTTTTTTTTCTCCTTTTGTGAGGTGAATGAAGAGTAACAAAGGCCCTCCAGCGTCTGATCGGTAAAGGCGTTGAATGCTGTTAGTTCGATCTGCGTTCGAATAGGCTGGCTCCATGGCGTTTTCGAGGTTTTCTCCATGTGTAATATTGACACGAGCCAGTTTTGCTTAGAAAGCCCTCCACGACGGTTTCCTTTCGCTTAGGCAGATAGCCCTCGCATGTTTTCCTGAAATCAAATAAACCAAACCGGAGACTAACAAGCTAGTAAAAATGATTAACTTTGCCTGAAGACCTGGATAAATGCATCTTGCAAGCTGTGTTCTGTATGTTTTGAAAGAAAGCCGACGTTTCGAATTTTCATGTTCTATCCGAACCACTTTATCAACCTAACAGTGCTTTTCTAGAATATGATTGCCGAAAGCACGTAACATTCACTTCTTATTTGCATAGATTTCGATTTCATAAAACAGGTTTTTTACAGCTATCTGATACAGATTTCTCACTACCGTTACTTAACTTTTTATCTTGTAGCATATCTTACTCTAGTTTCTTTCGGAGGTCGATATTTTTTAGCGGGTAATTTTTTTTCAAGCATTAAAGCATTTTATTTTTCGATACTTTAAGGTAATTATTTATTGGGTTTCAAAATTTTATGCGCTTATCACTCGTAAATTTCATTTCTGAGTAATTTTATCATTATTATTATTATTTTATTTTAAAACATTTTACAGCATTACTTGAAGCTTATCTGTATTTTCAACAGAGTTTCAAAATAATCCAATTATTTGAAATGCTTAGATGGAACTTTGAAGCATGGCCGAACAAATCCTCCAATTTTACAGATTTATAAAGGGAAATACGGTTTCCTTCCAAAAGTTCTTCCTGAAAGCTTCCCCTCTAAACCTCAAAAGCCGCTTTGCCGTAACTAAATGTGGCTTGTTGCCGCTTATATGGTCATAATGTAATGGTCACTAAATGCGCCGCTTATGTTGGTCAGAACAGTACTTTACGTTTTTTTATGTATTTCACTTACTTGCAAAGGTTACTTTAATATGGCAAAGCACACGAAAGCTATCGACCTAAGGGATGTGATGTCTTCGTAAAGGATTTTCTGATAAAACTGACTTATATTCACATTATACAAGGGAAAACCGCGAAAAACCAAGCATGCAGTCAGCTCGTTCGTCTGGGTTCGAAACCGGGACGAATTACGAGTATTCATCATTATTTAACCGCTCAACCACTAATGGAGTACTTGCAAAGTAGGCCCACCAGTGAGTGACTGGATATGTCTTCTCAATATATATATATATATGTAAGATAAAAAAATATGTAAATCAGCTTTATAATTTAATTTAGTAATAGTCTCTTAATTTTAATATGGGTATTTCGTCTCTCTGTTCTAAAAACAATAACAACTTTTCTGAACTGCGCCATTTCTAGAAAAATCTATGCCAGAGCTTGCGTAACGCTAATGACGTAGCTGATTCGGAGTCTAAACTCTGAGAATTGAAACCTTGCTAACCTAAACCGAAACCTTTCTCGTAACAGACTGTCATACTGGATAAATGGGCTCTTCAGCTTCTGTCTCTATACTGGACGTAATTTCGCTGTGCTTTCTTCCTTCCTCAACAGTATCAAAACTGTAAATATTCTGGAAATAGGCACGATTAGAGTGCAAGTGAATTGTGGCCACAAATGTCAATTTAAATAAAAATGGAATTTAATTCGCATCGACAGCCAAGTTTCTTAGTCATTACGAATTTTACCTTTTAAGATTCTACGCAATCAGAATTCTTCTTCAATATGGAACTACGTTCTACGCCAAACAGTACTGTACCTCTTTTTCTCTTTTTTAATCACACACACACACACACATAGGTATATATTAAATTGAGACTTCAATTTTCCAATGACTTTGGAGGGAAGCGATTTATAATTAATCTTCAAATTTC